AGATACATAGTTTTGCATTTTTAGGAAAATAAGGATTTTGCACAGAGCCTGCTGAGACGTCTCATCTTCATGCTCATGATATAGTTCTTGACTTCTAACCAATAAGCACATGCCAGAGGCCATTACATCAGTTCTCACAAAAAAACGGTCAGATGTTAGGCACGAACATCGTCAGCAGACCTATCTATGACACTTTTCTCAAACCTTTTGTGTATCATTCAGTTCCTCTACAAGCGAGCGACAGAAGTAAATTTGTAAAGCCTCTGTTGGAAGCATCAATGACTACTAGCAGCCTAATTTATTCTCAGCTTTGTTTTGCCCAAGGATGTTTGAATTTTATATGAAGGTACAGGATCAACGGCTTAACCCAACACATTCCTTCCTGTTTTCTTTTCTTTTCTATTTTTTGTGACAGGGTCTCACTATGCAGTTCAGGCTGGCCTTGAGCTCACTTTGTAGCCCAGGATAGCCTCGAACTTGCATTGATCCTCCTGGCTCAGCCTTCTGAGTGCTGGAAGCACAGGAATGTGCCACCACACATGGCAAAAATCCTAAATGTAAAACTGGAGGCCCTGATAGGGATGAGAAAGGTGTCTGGGGCCAAAGCCTTTTAGACAGTAGTCCCGGAAGCAAACCGGCGACCTTCTATTCCAGTAGTGCAAGATTTAGCCAGTTATAAACCCTGGCACGAGACTACTAGACTGTAAGCAAGACAACGCTGATCTTCATAGCATTCTTTATATACAAAAATATGTTTTAAAAAAACACAAAACGATAAGTAAACAATCTGCAGTGGGGTCACCATGCTCTGGTCAAGTAAAAGAGCGCATGCAGTGGCACACCTGCTGTGCTAAGTTTAAAGATGCCTTACCACCAGAAGAGCTGCCCACTTATGACGTGGGTAGATTGCTGCCAACCTGTTTACAAACTGGAGACCTTTAAAAAAATGTGCTGACATGTGAGGGTCATTCTACAGCTTTCTCTCTTTTATTATTTTTTATTTTTTTTGATTTTATTTTTAATGAATTTAGGGCAGGACGTATAGTGTGTACAGGGTCTCACTACGTAGACCAGACTCGTGGCGATGCTCCCGTTTTCAGCCTCCCAAGCGCTGGGATTGCAGGCCTGTGCCACCACACCCAACCCAATCACTGTGTCAGCACACCCCAGGGGCGGGGCCGGCATGGCAGGCCAGGGGTGAAACCTGGCCTCTGCACTCTGCCGAAGCAGGCCCTTCAGTCCACTGAGCTATGTGGCTGGCCCTTTATTGTTTTTACATTATAGAAATATTAAGGAAATAGCTTTAGATCTTTCTAGTATTGTGATTAACACCATCATTAAAATTTCAGATGAATTCTCTCTGTAATAATAGCTACAACTGCCTCTTTTTTGCTGCTATAGTAAACAACCAAACTGCTTTTATAGAAATTGATTCCTTCCTAATAGTTTAAATTTTTTTGTGCTGACCAATTTGATTCCTGTGGTTACCATTTTCGTTTTGTCTCCAAGCACAGTAAAATCTCCTCATACAACATTGTCATTGCTTTAAATACTTCAGATATTGCAGCAAATTGAAAGACAGCCCCCTCACTTTATAAATAAGCTGTAACTTAAGCCAAAAAGGGTTTACACAATGGTTCAAAACTCTTGAAGTTTAGTTCAATGCTAGTTTTTCACACTATGGTGGCTACAAATTCAGCTCATCAATCACTGTGCAAGTTTAAAAGATTTCTGGCAATTTTTTTTTTTAAATCAAACTAGCAGAATCAGGCACAAGTGACATTATTCTGTTCAGTAGTAAAGATTCTAAACTCAAAAATTTATAAGAAGAAAAAGGCAAAAATGTTATGAAATGAAGTTTTAGCTTTAAGCAGCTTAGAGATGAATGAACAAAGATTTCCTCCATTAATTTTTAGGATAAGACTGCAGAAATTCTACATGAAAATGTTGCTTTTCTACAGAATATTCCATTCATATTGAGAGGAAATTGTGTAAAGGACATTCAAGTTTACTATTTTTCAGAAAATTAAGTCGATAGTTTTCTAAAATATTTACAAAAATAAATTTCTGAAGCCTTCTGAAATTTGTGAATTAATTTAAAAAACAAACTTTGAAAGAAGTAAATGAAGTAACTGAAATTTGTATGAAATTCATCTGGCAGGACAGCTCCAACTGCTCTAACAGAGTTGTGCTAATTGTCTTAATTGTTCTCTGCCTAGGTTATCACTAAATAATTAAAGAAGGAGAAATAATATGAATGACAAGTGTGACATATGCCAAGCACTGTGTGTATTAATTAATATGTTTATTCATTTCCCCACACCATGTATATTATTATTCCCTCCTACAGAGAAAAAGAAATAATTTGCCAAAAAAGACAGATAGGTAATGAATGCTAGATTTGAAATTTGAAGTGTGCTTGTCTGGCCACCCGCCTATTTTGTCTTGGTTATAGCATATGTTCTCCAATCTGAATGAAGCAAATGTAATGATTGGCAGCTCTGTGCAAGTGTGTATGTGAGCGACACACTGAAGTTTACGACGGCACTGTACAGATGGAGTCTGTGTGTCTGCACCCATCTACGCCGACCGACCGCTTTCTCTAGAGATAACAATGAGTTTCCTTCCCAGGTCTGAGTTCCCCCAGTCAATCTTACTTTGAACCTTAATCCTTTTATTGAATACTGGCTTGGGAAACTTTTCTGAGTGGGCAGCTGTGCTGAGATTATGATAAAATAAAATTCAAAAAGAAATCAGAGAACAGTGATAATATACTAATAAAGGGAAATTTTTTTTTTAATTTTTATTTTTGGCGGAACCGGGGATTGAACTCAGACCCTTGCACTTGCCAAGGAAGTGCTTATTCCACTGAGCCATCTCCCCGGCCCCAATAAGGGAAATTTAGGCAAACATTGAGAGGAGTTAAGAAAAGTGGTAATATGTTAAATGTTTTATATTAGATTCTTCGGTCTCAAGTAACTTTCTAGTTTGATAAATACATCTGCATTCAATTTTTAGAACAAAGACATATTTTAAGTGCAAACATAAGTGACACTTCAATATTCCACATCTCTTTTTTATTCCGTTAGTGTATATAATCAAGATTTGACTTAAATGAGTTGACTAAAGTCAAAAATATTACAAAAAATACATATATATATGTATATACACACACACACATATATTCGATGTACCAGTAACTGAATACATACAGAGATAAAAATACACAAATAAAGATCTATAAGACAAATGGAACTGAATAAAATAATTATGATAGCCTTTACATATTCCTAAAATGTGTCATTTTATGTGGACTTTCAAGAGCTCATGAGTAACAGAATGCATACCCTCCAATTTTATCTAAAATTGGATCATATTGCAACAAATTAGAACTTAAATAATGCCTAGATATTTCAGGGAATGATATACTGCAGATAGAAAAACCAAATAGCATTCAAACGTTAATCCAATATTAAAGGACCACCATTTCCTGCAGAGTGAAAACATAGAAAGAAGATTTGCAAAGAGGCAAAGTAAATAAAATGACCACTAAGTTTATTGATAATACTGTTAAGACAAAATGATACGCTTTGATTAGTTGTATCAGTATAGTTTCTTGGCCATGTAGGAAAAGAGAAAAAGAAGGTCAATAAACATAACCATGCATGCGTTATAAGCTAATGTGTTTTTTTTAAAAAAAAAGTAAATGTAATGGGAACCACTACAACTGCAATACGTATGTGGCCAGTCCTACAGGTGACTAGGCAATCCCAACATCACTGCTGAGAATTAAACTGATCCAATGATCTATGACTCTAATAGCACTAAACCATTCCATTTCAAATTGCATTATATTTTATGCCCCATTAATTGAACATTCATATTAATTTTTAACATTAGACTCAATTCATTTTAGAGTCATGTGCACAGTTTTGCTGGTATTGTAGCAGGTTCTTCTCCTTTTTTCCCTACCTTGAATTATTATATCATAAATCAAAATGTTTCCTAATTAGTATGCAATTGAGAGATACCAGCAGGAAAAAGTTTAGATCAAATAGAACCTTCCTGATTCTAGGACAAAGTGATAAAATTTTATATAAAGAAATATAAAGAAAAAAACGGGAAGGGAAAAGAGCTTCAAATAGAATATTTGAAATTGGATGATGTTTCAGTTTGTTTAGATTTTCTAGCATTTCACCCTAAAGTTCAGAAAACGTCTCACTAATGTTAACAGAAAATGAAATACTTTGAAAATATGTTTAGCAATTTGTTGTAAGCATTTAGCATGCGTAATGGCAATGGATCAGTCTCTACACTCATTTATGTAAACAACACGAGAGTTTGACTCATGCTTCCAATTTAATTAAAGTGCTCTAATAAATGCATTTTAAGATTCAATTATTTAAATTGCTTTTGGCACCTAAACAGATTTGGCTGCCATACTACAGACAATAAAATCACTTTTTGCTTCTTTTTGTATAATTCTTTATTAGCTATAATTGAATTTATATATTCCTATCTTACAGAGTCTTATCAAGATCAGATAGTATTTTCATGAATATGCATAATCATAAGGTTCATAGTTAGTGATATTAGTAGGCCAGCCCACATAATTTCTCCCTATTGCTGCCCAGAGGAAGAACTCTGGCTGAGGAGACAGGCAGATAAGTATATTCAGTAATATTAGTCTCTGTAAAAATTTTTCAAGAAGATAGGTCATTATCATTAGTTAAGATAAGAATGTCTCCTGGGATATGTAAGTCAAAAGAAAGTTTATGTGGCAGAATTATGTAAGGAAACTTACAATAGTGCCTGCCCACAAACCATGCAATTTGGAAACAGCCAAGAAACAAAACCATAGAGGAGGAATAAATACAACATGTATTAGGGGTTATTATGCAACTACAAAGATTCTATATGACCCTGGCAATATAGCAAAATATAGTTATGGAAAAGAAGCTATTTCTTATGCTCAGTAGCTAATTTTCAAACATATGTACCTGTATTTGAAACTTTGAGCATTTCACACATTTTTCTGTATCTGAAAAAAAAATGGATCCAGACTGATATTGTGTATCAATATAGCTGAAAACAGTTAATACAAAGGTAGCCAAAAGCAAAGTTCAATAAGAATTCCAAAGAAGGGTATTATTCTGATTGCTTAGAAAGCATATCTCATGTACACTTTGCTCATATTGAAAAACAACTCACTGCTCAATTTTGCTAGAAAGGATAAAATATCTTCAGTAATATTATTTAATAATGTTTTAAAATCAAATAAAAGGCTAGATTAAAATGTCTAAATCAAACTGTAGGTATAATTAGACACTTCAGAAATAATATATAACTCCATTCTGAAAGCATAGATAGTTCACTATCTAATAGTTAGTTACATCTGCCTTTCTTACAATTTGCAATGAAAACATTATATATTTCCACTCTCAAATGTTCAAGGGCATTATATCTATGAAAATAACATGTATCATAATAATCTATTCCAGAAAATAACATTTTAATAGTCTAGTCTGGATAAATAAGAAATATATAGCCTTCAGGACAAATGTATTTAATATTAGGCAATATAAGAAAGTACAAAAATTGACTTATCTATATTATTGTATGGGTGAAATAGGAAACATCTAAAATAGTAATATAGTTTGATGGTGAATAAATGTAAAAACTATAATAAAAGTTCATATATTTTAGTCTATAATTTATATAGAACAACACTAAGTACAGGCTGCAAACATCTTTTTCCATTGTGGATATTTAACCTAGACTACCATAATATATATGACAGACTTGTAATCATATGACCAAAATAAGGTCAATAAAATTTAAATCTTGGGTGTAACCATGACATGGTCTAATTTATATTCAAATATCAAATATTAGTCACTACTTTAAGAGGCAAACATACACAATCTCTACATTCATGTTTCTTTTTGACTTACTGCTTTGTAAGTTCTCTTCTGTCCAGCATGCTTCCGAATTTGTTCTCCATTTGGCCCGGTTTCCACGTGCATCGAATAGATAATATCAAAGAAGTCTTCCACCACAGCGACCCGCCGCAAGGACAGCTTCTCATCCACTCCCACGCCATCCTAGAAGCAGAGGCAAAGACACGCGGGAGTCACACGGTCATCTGAGGTTGACACAGGAAGCCAACTACGTCAAAATATTGATGTAATCTGAACCACATCATCTAGACAGAAAACTTCAGAGAAGTTTTCTTTTTTCTTTTTTTTTACTAATATCCCACAATTTCGTGCATTACTTCTCTAAAGAACTTTAATAAATAGGAGACAGAATAGAAAATAAACGTAAATCATGCTTAGCCACACTCCGTCTTTTGAGTTTTAATAGTAACTTACTTTTAACCATCAGTATGACTTCAGTAAATTATTTTAAAGTCTATTAATTCTATTCCAATAACTCAGTTCTAAATGCTGATTCATTCATCACATTTCAGTTGCTGAGACCTAGAAGTTGTAATTACAAAAATAAAAGAGAAAACATAAAACATCATATAACCTAGGAAAGAAAATACATCTACTATCAATAGTAGATTAAGATACAAATGTTTTAAATATGAACTCTATTGCTTATGGGTAAACTATGAGTGGCTTTCTGTTGTTATTTTATTTTTTGAAACAAGTTCATGCTATGTTGTGCACACGGGCCTTGAACACACTATGAACCCCAACTTGTCCTTCAACTTGCAGGAATTTTCAGCTTCTTGAGTACTAGGATTATGGAGTTGTGCCACTATGCCCTGATGCCTATGTGTAAACTGTGGATCTTCCACCCAGAAATTGGGTAGTTTGTGAAAAACACTTAAATCTCTATAAATGTCTGCTTTTATGGCTTAAAAAAAGAGATAATAGATTCCACTTCATAGAATTATTGTAAGAATTAAATGCAATAATATGTGCAAATGATATAAACCCAATATTTGACATATAATGATCACTGTATAAGTGTTGTCCCCTGTTATGTTGTTGATTACATTAAACTATAAGAAAAGAGAACTATGGTCATTCGGAGAATTAATGCAGCACCAAATGCTAACGTAGATGTCTTAGAAGAAATATAATTTAGTATAGGTGGGAGGGCACAACCACGGAAAAGAAAATATGACAAAGAGCCAGTACCTCACATAGATGATAGAAAATAAGAAGTCAGGGTTGAGATCATGAATAAAAGTAACCTTACATGGCTGCAATTTAGAAGAGGTTCCAGCATATAGACACACACTGCACTCTTATTTTTACCCCAAGGAAAAACATGACACAATCCAACAGACCAATTAATGTTGGTACAGTGAGTGGCATGACTAAATAAAAACCTACAGCCAATGCTTGACATTGGCAAGACCCTCACTGAACACTAATTCCAGCAAGCTAGAGTTTACTGCAAAGTCATGAAGAATACACTGGCACTTTTTGTTACTTTGCTCTTTGTTTCTTTTTTTATACTAAACCTTGAAAGGAGCAAAGGCCAAGGTAGTATACTCAAATAAATATGTATACACATATATATGAACTCATGTGTTTGGCTAACTGGGATCTCTCTCTTTGTTCAACTAGAAATGCCTCTTCACAAATTTCCTGTGATGCATGTTATTTCCAATTAAACTCCTGACCTTTCTCACATCTCTTCTTGACTATCTCAAGGTATCTCTCCTTTGACATCTCACATCTCTGGGCTGAAATTACCCCACTGCCTTCTAATACAAGAGTAGTATCCATTGAGAACACAAAGACAAATCATGAATCTTGGGAGTGATCATCCTGGAAAACCATTCCACTTTGATGTCAGTGCCTGGGAAAATACCATCACATGTGTCTCAATCTGACTGTCTCTATATCTTCAGAGAACACCCATATATCCTAGGCTTGCAAATTCAGATTCTACCTATCCATCAGTAAAATCATCCAGGAAACATCCCAGTCATAAAATTTAGTATTCAGTCAGGTTCTTGATGACTACCCATAAATACAGCTCAGTTATTAATTATATTTACTTATATAAATTAGTTTATTATTTGCTCCCAAGTCCATCTGCCTATTTACTCAATTCCCCAGTTAAACTCTAACATCATAATTTACTCCTTTTGTCTAGTATCCAACAAAACCTAAATAGTGCCTAGCCCTTTTAACTGTTAGAGCCATCCAGGGGTATAACCAAGGTGTATAGGGAGCTGTCTACACAGAAAATAAATATTAGACTATGGATTGTCAACACGTATGTAGGTATACACTTGTCCTTTGGCTTCCATGACAAATTACCATAATGTGAGCTGCTTACCAAGAGAGAAGTTTCTTCTCTCATATTCCTAGAGATCATAGATGCAAATTCAAGCTGTCAGCAGAGCTGCAGCCACCCTGGGGAATCACATGGCGGCGAATCTGTTCTTTACCTCTTTAGCTATAAGTGGTTGCCAGCATCCCATGGCTTCAAGCCACATCACATTTCCTTCTTCTTCTGTGTGCCTCCTCTCTAATTTCTCTCTTCCAAGGACATTTCTGATGGCCTTCCAGGTAACTCAAGGTAATATCTTCATCTCAAGAGTCTTAAGGTAGTTATATGCTTAAGACTCTCTTTTTCAAACAATTTAATAATTTCAAGTCACAGGAATAAGAAATAGTTATGTTTTGATGGCCATTATTCAGTCAACTACAGTTGGTATTTGAAAACAGAAAGAACAGACTGTGCTATGAGAAAGCGTGCTGGAGGTGCTTCGTAACTACAATACTTAACATTCTTTCAGGAAATCAGGAATTCAGTACATATCAAGATAATATGAAATCACATGTTTTTAGGGGAGTAAAATGTTGTATATCCCTTCTATCATGTACATCTAAATATTTTCAATTGATTCAAGCTCCATGTAAACAAATATTCTATAATTCAAGTTCAAAACTGCTTTCAAGTTCAAAACACTAATATAAATGACTTAAATGTCTGTGAAATCATCACAGAAAAGAAAGAAGAGGCACCTGATTGTGAAGAAAAGAAAAAAACTCTTTTCAGGTTTGTTATATGTCACTTTAGAGATGATGACATGTTTGCATATTTAGAAAATCCTAATGAATAATCTCAAACTTAGAATACATAAATAAGTTCAAAATCTATACAAAACTATCAGTTATATTTCTCTTCATTTCTAATGGACAATCAGAAATATCTATTAAATATCATAAAATATTGCTTAAAGAAATTTAAAAGGAGGTAAAAATGGAAATATATGCCTAATACATGAATCAAAATATGTAATGTCATTAAGGTGGCAATTCTCCAAAAATTGGTTTATACAACAAATACAATCTCTTATCACTCTTCCAACTAGCATTTTACAGAAATTGATAAATGACATTAAGAGTCATACAAAAATGCAATGAAATGAAAATAGTATAAAACAATTCTAAATATATTTGTAGTTAATATACTTCTTAATTTAAAAGTCTACTATTATAATTAAGCACTCATATGTAAACAAATTAAGCCAGAATTTCACCTAGTGCCATACACCAAAATAAAATCAAAGTGGATTATAAAGCTAAAAGTGAGAAATGAACTCAAAACTTTACAAGAATACACAGAAATAAGATGTTTATGACCTTAGGGCAAAGTCCCCATAGTTATGACACCAAAAGTAAAACAATCAATGATGAATTATAAGTAATTACATCAAAGTTAAGAAAATTTGTGCTGCAGATGATCTAATCAAAACTTGAAAACCTTCATAAATTGGTTAAAATTTTTGAAAATCATTCAGTAAAGAACTTGCATTCATAATGCATCAAAAAACTCAATTATAGGAAGTCAAATAGTTTAAAAATTGAGAAACTTTAGATATTTCTTAACAAAATATTTGAATGGCAAATAAACACAAGAAAAGACAACAATATTAGTCATTAAAGAAGTGCAAATACATCTGTAAGGAGACAGTCCTTTCGCATTAACAGAAATTTATAAAGTCAAATATGGAGGGAATGTGTAAAGAAATTGAAATTCTTATAGATTGTTGGCAAGAATGCAAAATGATGCAGTTGTTTTCCAAACAGTTTCCAAATGATGCAGTTGTTTTCCAAACAGTTTCCAAACTCAAATATTAAACTTGGACCTAAGATAAGGCTTACCTGGCCCAAATCAAAATATATTCAAGAAGAATAATAAAATAGGTCCAAATATATTCCCCACAAATATCAATAGCCTATTTGTAACAGACAAAAAGTAAAAACCCAAGTGTTCTTGAAATGTAACTATAAATCCATGTGGATGGTCATACAAATGGCTATTATCCTTCCACAAAAGGGGTAAGATCTTGAATATGTTGTGCCATCAATGAATACTGTACATATTAAGATGAGAAAAAAATTCAGACATAAGAGACCACGTATTTCATGATTCAATCTACCTAAAATATCTAGCATTGCCCATACACTAGAATATTGCTTGTGTAGGGTCGGGATGATTTTTGTTTGCCAAGCCTTTTAGGAAGGATATAACTGTTTTAACAATAGATAATGGGGATGTATCCTTGCAATGTACTGAAGGAGTGAATTATATACTATAAATGATAAATTCTCTGGGATGTGATCTACATCTCAATAACTCTGTTGAAAAAAGACATCTTTTGAGTTCAAAGCTGGAATCAAATCAAGAGACTCATGCAATTTGTACTCAACCAGTCCATGAACCTATGAATGCAACGTAGGAATGAAGAGGCTCAGTCCCTACCACAGTAGCAGTTAATATATTATGCTGCCTATAGTGGACAAATGTCCCTTGAAATCAATGCATAAGATTTTTATAAATTTTACTGATGTAACACATATGACACATGTGTTCCATAAAATTTACAAAAACACTAAAACATATTTTCATAATAAATTCAATGTAAGGTTTTCTGCCGAGTTCCAGGAGCCCCCAGACCAAGTCCTAGCCCAGGTCCGGTGAGTGTGCAGAGAGCTTCCTCTTCCTCCAACTTCACCTTGCCCCCTCCAGGCACAACTCAGGCCTGGCATACACGCCTGAGGTGTAATCCTGCAGCTGCAACCACTGCAGGGGA